CCTGGAAACCCATTCTAGACTCTGTTTCTATGATTTTTATTTTTTTAAAGATTATACATGTAAGTGATATTATATAGTTTTTGTCTTTCTTTGTCTGACTTATTTTACTTTAGAAGACTTTTATTCAATTAAAGAAGTAAAAAATGCTTATGCAAAATATTTCACAAATATAGGAAAGCATAAAGGAGAAAATAAAGGCTACTCCAAACTTAGAAACAAACCCATCCTGAACTCTATTCCAATGAAGCTTAGAAAATGTGAAAAGTTCTAAAACTGCCTGGTCACCACACAAAACCAGAGTTCTCATAACAACACAGTCTCTGACCTTATTTGTCACCTCCATGCCTTTTTAAGTTGTAAGTTCAAAGCTAACACCACGCTCCAGTAGAATGTCACACAACTGCTCCTTGTCTACAGCGATTATTCTCTTCAAGAAAGGCCATTCTGATCTCATCCCAAGGTATTAAATTAATGTCTTGATGAATTAACTGAAATTGACTGTAATACATGACATTTTATTCCAGCTGGAACATACTGCTAGAATCAATTATTTCAAGTCATGATACTTATCTGGCTGGTCATATAAAATTTGTTTATCAATTCGCTTCCACTAAAAACTAACCTGCAGAGCACGAGTATAATCTTACTAGAGGCCCGATGCACGAAATTGTGGTGCAAGAGCAGGTCTTCCTTCCCGCACAGCTGCCAGCACCAGCTTCCTTCCCTCTGGCACCTGGGACCTGGGCTTCCCTTGCAGCCCCAACTTCGTCCGGAAGTACATCTGGTCTAATTAGCATATTATGCTTTTATTATTAATATACTATAGAACACAAACTTCAGGAGGCTTTTGCCAGGAAAAATATTGAGCCACTTTCCTACTGAAAACTCACCCACTGTGGAAAAACTTGGTCCTGTTCTTTCTTTTGTTTACTGGATCAACTTTACATTATTTCATATAGACAAGCCAAGATATTCATATAGTGCTGATATTCATACAGTAGCCACATGGAGAACTTTAATCCTTACTACTGATACAGACACAGCATCGTTCCGCACTTTACATTTTAATATACCTAGAAGAGTTTGTGTTTGCTTGATTGTCAGTCGAAGTCAGTACAGGTAAGATAGTACGGGAGCATCTGAAAGGGCCTCCCTCACATTTCCCAGACCAACCCTTCCCACCTCCCTGCACCTGTAACATTATCTGGCTTTCCTCCTAAGACAAGAATGACATATTGCTGCTGCTATTCAGGACCCATCTCTCCACGGATGCATGAGATCCCAATGTTCTCCACCTCCTAAGGATTTTGCTCTCAATATTTGCTCCTGCCACCCCTCTCTCCTGCATCATCAATTTCTCTCTGGAGACTAGGTCATGCCAGCTATCATACACACCCTGGAGCTTCTCAAACTGTGCCTCCTTGGAGGAAAGAACAAGTTTTTTTTTGTTTTGTAAATTTCAACTTGCCACTGATACCTTATAAAAATACAATAACATGAGTATTAGAAATGATCACCCATTCCCATGCTTCAGGAATACCAAACTGCTGTAACAGCTTCCAATTTCCTACTCATCTCACTCTGTGTTACCCTCGGTTCTCAAACAGCTCCATCTTGAACAATCCGATTCTTGACCAAGTTTTTCATAAAAAAAATGTCTTGGTTGACCAAAACCTTCAGTTTTCCACCTGACAGCCCTTTCAGGCTGATACCTCAGCATGATAAAAAGCATCTCTCAGGCAACAAACAAAGGAGAGAATGCTTTTGTTGCCGGCCCATATACAAAATATACTATTAGCACAATTAAAACATAAAGAGGCCATCAAGAGTGCTAATGTTGCTAAGGGTGTGAAAATGCTCATGAAACAACAACCACCGGCAATTGAATAGGTAGAAAAACTGCTGTTGACTGGATCAAGGAAAAGCAGTTAGCTGGTGGTAGCATTTCTGAGGCAGTGATATATGAAAAATTCGTTTAAAGCTAGTAGTGGGTAGTTCGATAAATTTAAGAAGTATTTATAAATTAAACAGTAAATCAGATATGTAGTGTATAGAAGAAAGGTTAAAACTGAATCATTTGGGGGTCTGGAACAGATTAATTCAATATACGTAATTTCTAATGGGAAAAAATGATTCGGTTTTCAAACACATCGCTTCTCAACAGCCTTCAGGAACAAATTAAGTTCGAGAAACGTGGTGCCAGTTACTATTAACAGACTTTTTGCTGCTCTGCCCAGGAGTTTGAGTAGCATTGTTCTTGTCTCTTGTCTTTAAAAAACACTTTCCTTTGCCTGCAGGCAACCCTCAAACTATTACCTCATTTCTGATTCATTTAACAGCAATACTTCTTGAAAAACCCCTCACTAGTTACTGCTTCCATTTCCTTACTCATTCCCTTAACATCTCTCCTCAACCCACTGCAACTGAGCTTCTCTCCCAAGGCTCTTGCGGAAGTTTCAAGGGCTTATAGTCAGCCAGCATATGCTGACACATTTGTACCTGGCATTCAAATAATGAAACCCCTCTAGGCTAGTTGGTAAGTAGCTCCCTTTCCTTCTCTTTTTGTTCTCTCCCTGGGTAATCTAATCAAACCCCAGCTATTAGCCACAAAGCCCTGATCTCTCCCCGGAGCTGCAGACTAGCACACCCAGTGCACACACTTGGATGTCTAATAAGCATATCAAATGTAACATGTTCCAGACAGAACCTAGGTCCCCCTTAGACCTTGGATTCCCTATGTCAATGATTGGCATCCAATTTGCTCAAGCTAAAAATCAATAACCAAGAATTATCCTTGATTCCTTCATCCACACCCACGTTTAATCTTGTTCAAGTCCTGTCCACACTGCCTCCAAAACACATTTTTCCTCACCTTTGTTCCAATTACCACCAGCTCTTACTTGGATTGCATTACCTTAGCTTCCAAACTGGTTTTCCAGTCTCACACTGGCCTCCTACATTCTCCTCTACAGAAAGTAGCTGGAGCTGTCTTTTAAAAACATAAATCAGATTATAACTCTCTCTTACTTAAAATCCTCCAACAGCTTCTTCCAAACTCCTAGAATAAAACCCAAGTTCTTTACTTGGTCTAAAGGCCCTACCTCTCCCCGCCTCTGCCTACCTTTCCAAGGTCACCTCAGGTCATTTCCCTCCTTCACTCTGCTCCTAACCTGAGGCCGTGGCCTCCTGCCTGAATGCCTGCTTGTTTGTGGTCTATTTGCCTCCTCTAGAATGTAGGCTCCATGAGAGGTAGCCATAGTGGTCTATGTTCAGGAACTAGGTGAGTTTCTGACACACAGTAGGCACTCATGAAATGAAACTGAATGGAGGATTATGACAGTGAGCTTAAGCACTGTGAAATAAACACACTCACACCTTTTAAGAAATAACTATTGAAAAAATAGTGTTATTCTTAAACATTTTTCTCAACTATATAAATGCTAATGTTACCATCAAAAACTACTAAGATATTCAGTAGAATGAGAAAAAAAATATTGGGAATATTATAAAATAAAATGGCATGAAGAGTAAAACCACTTAATGTTTTGTCTGAATTTGATAAATCTTACTTTTGAGTTCAAACTAGCACTTAAATAACTATGTCTATACCTATGACTATGACTATAATGATCGCTCTATCTACCCATAATTGTTTAGTCATTTTATAAAATAGCTAACACATTAACATGGTTCAAGAAATAAGAAAGTATGAAATACTTCCCTGTATATCACCTGCCTATCCCCCTTCCCCAAAGGCAACTGCTTTACTTATTGCATATATGCATTATTTCAACATTTAATAATACTTATTTAATATTTAATGATTAATATGCTATTTACAATTTAATGTATTTAATATTATTTACTTTAATAACATTCAACATTAATTTTAACTGAATATAATGCTATCAATGACTCAATAAAAATATATTTAATAGTATTAATATTTAATTCTTTAAATATGTTTGGTACTCTTTCTGTGACTGCTTATTCTGTTTTATAGTCTTGGAGGCCCCGACTATATCCCCAAATTCACGGAACTGGTCTCCTACTAAAGTATATTTAGGTTGTTTGTAATCTTTTGTTAGTAAACCATGCGTCAAGCAGAAACTTGATAAAAATATCATTTTGTAAGTATGCAGGGGTATCTCTGAGGTAAATCTCTACGAAGAAAAGAGCTTTAGGAGAAGAGCTAAGTCTAAGAGTGTAAACATTTTCTATTTTTCATAGGTATTTCCAAATCACCATCCCATAGAGATCATACCAATTTATAGCATGTAGAAGCCTGCCTCCCACATCTTTGACAAAACCTTTTGGATTTTTGCCAGTCTGATAAATTGAGCACATTTTCTTATTTGCAAGAGTTATTTTAATCCTTTTTGATGTATCTATGATACTTTTTATGACATTTGTTTCAACATCATTTAATAATTTAACTCTCCATATATAAATGCAAAGCCTCATGGTTTCCAATTTGTGTTTGCTTTATTTGTTTTTTTTAAGTTAGCCTTGATTTTAATTTTCTGTTGTTTTAAAGTACCAAATCTTGGATATAGTAATTCTCTTTTTAAACTAATGATAATTTTTCCCCCTTTATTACTTCCTTCCTCCTACTTTCTTTTGATGTATTTCTGGACATTCTAATATATATCACTAGAACTTTTCCTGAACCTCTACTTTCTTAGTGTCATTTTTTTAAACAGAACTTTTTGAGATAAATGTTCAGTTCCCTGGCCCTTTGATCCTCTCTGCCTCTCTTCTTCCCTCCCTTGCTTCCTCCCTTCCAAATAATAAAAGCACTTAAGTTTTTACATTTTTTTTGAGTATGCTGTCAGTCATATCAAATGAGTTTTGCTATATAATGTTCCCAGTTGTTTTTTAAAAAGGCCTAAAATTGTATGTTTGATGTCACCTTTCATTCAAGTGTTATTTAGGAAGTATTTTAAACATGTTGACTTTTAAAAGTAGCTGGCTATAAAAATTTTATTCTTGTTATTAAAGTCTATTTTTGAGATCTGAGAATGTAGCCTTTATACTTCCTTCTGCAGTTTTAGAATTAAGTTTTCTTAGTCTCTCAAAAACCAATTAGGAATAATCCTCACCTCTTTCTCCTTGGGTCACTAAAAGCTAATGTGCTAGAAGGTCTGATCACATATCAAAATATAGAACTGAAGGAATAATGTCCTAAAATTTCCACTAAAAAGAAACATGTTACCTGAAACATATCCGTATCTTTATCGTGTGTATATTCGACCACCACAGTCTGATTCCTTGACAGAGTGTATGATATACTGTGTTGACCTTTGCAGCTGATTGCCTAATAATGAAATAGAAAAAATAAAAATTCGTTAAAATTTCATTTCAATAACTTACTCACATTTTATCCATTCTGCTTTATCTTCATCTCCACTCCTTTACAGTAAGTACAATAGCGCTTTCATAAGCCTACCTACTAGACTTACTGGAGATGGTACTGTCTGAAGGTCAGGAAAGCATGTGGAAGTAGGTGGACACACACATGGCGTGCCACTGAAAATGTCTGAGCATGTATATGTGGCTCACATAACTGCTTAGAGTAATAAATAGTGTGACATTCCAAATCAAGTTAGACGTTAGCCTGGTCCATCTCATGCTTATTTAATCAGCTGCCCTGAGAAACTGCATGGCCAAACTGATGTTTTTTTGTATGTTTTTCATTAAGATAATATTAAGCATTAAAAATAAAAATACTTTATATGAGCAGGAACCTAAAAAATATTTCTTATACTACTCCACTTCAGCAACAAATATAACCTTAAATTTTTATTGGTATGAATCAGATAAATTCAATGGCATTGATAAAATGACATTTTTTGAAAGTCAAATATAGCACTATTTCCAATTTAAGATGAGTTGATGTTTATCTTTATAGTTAAGTGACAAAAATCCATTTTAAGAAAAATAACCTTATTAAACTCAAACTTACAAAACTAATAACCAGGGAGTATGTACACAATAATTTATTTTAGGATTTTTAAAAAAGTGTTTATTGCATTTATAAGTATTCAATTTACAAATGAATCAACTCAAACCTAACTTTCTTGGCACACATGCTACATAAAACAAGAATGTCTGGCCCTAACCGGTTTAGCTCAGTGGATAGAGCGTCAGCCTGCGGACTGAAGGGTCCTGGGTTCGATTCTGGTCAAGGGCATGTACCTTGGTTGCGGGCACATTCCCAGTAGGGGGCGTGCAGGAGGCAGCTGATCGATGTTTCTCTCTCATCAATGTTTCTGACTCTCTATCCCTCTCCCTTCCTCTGTAAAAAAAAAAAAATCAATAAAATATATTAAAAAAACAACAACTAAACAAGATTGTCTGTAGTTTGCCAATTATCTGCAAAATAAGGAGTAACCAATGCCATAGCATAATACCTCTTACAGCTACACATTTTTGTACTTTCTTAAGCACAATGTTTCTTTTCTTTTTTTAAATATATTTTATTGATTTTTTACAGAGAGGAAGGGAGAGAGAGATAGAGAGTTAGAAACATTGATGAGAGAGAAACATCGATCAGCTGCCTCCTGCACATCTCCTACTGGGGATGTGCCCACAACCCAGGTACATGCCCTTGACCGGAATCGAACCTGGGACCTTTCAGTCTGC